TTCCTTCGCTTTTAAATAGCTTGTAAAAGCGGCATGCGCATTTTAATTTCACTTTCAAATAGCCGCAACTCGGCATAAAGCAATTGTTCGTTTTTATTTTGTTTGAATTTCCCTCTTTTTCTCGCTTTCCTTCGCTTCGCTTAAAAGCGCCGTACACATTTGACTTTCACTTTCGAATTAGCAGCAGTTATTGAGCAGCCGCGTTCAGTTTTTAATTGTAGTGTCTGTTCTTTACTGAACTAAATGATTTTTATTAATATAAAAAAATCTAAATGACGGTGGGGGTCGGTGCCGTGGTGGGCAAGTGACGTAACCGGTGTAGCGGCTTAACACCGGTATCACCGTCAGCACCGTCTATCGCGGCAAGCCTATTTTTTTAGTGCTTTTAACACCATCTGGTCTTCACTTTCGATGGGCAACTTACTGTCAATACACTCTTAGTGCTTAAAAGGCTCTTCACAGCAATGCCATAGAAGAACCATTTTTGGTTCCACAAAGAACCATTCAGTCAAAGGTTCTTTAAAGAACCATCTGTTTCTTACCTTTTTAGAATCTGAAGAATGAGTTCTTCAGATGTTAAAGGTTCTTTATGGAACCATTTAGACAAAAAAGTTCTTCTATGGCATCGTGAAGCACCTTTATTTTTAAGAGTGTACAAGTCGATAGCCACAAGGGTTTGTTCTAGCATCTATTTACAAGCCCCAGTCTTCAATTATATCACATTACCTGCAGGTCTCTGCTTATTCTGTGATTGAATTAGTGAACATACGAGGCTGCATACAAGGGTTTAATATATTTCCAATATAAATATAGGTTCTAGGTCAGAAAACTCACGTTCAGCTATTTTTGATACCTTTTTTTTTCACCTGTTCTATTACAAAATATCATATTGATAGCAATGTATTTTATTTGTTATGTGTTTATGTGATTTTTTTTCATATGCACAAGTTCTGCTCATTTTTCCTCATTTTTTATGCTATCTTATTTTTTGAAGTCACTTCTCTGCTGTTTACTTCTTTTATGAAGCTCTGGTCTTTGTAAGCACCACTACGGAGAGCTGAATTTCTCCTCTGGGATCTACATACTGTACATTGTCAGGTGGCCAGTTTATTATATCTTATAAAACACAGCTGCAAGTGTTTGAATTTTACAGCAAAACAAAGCAAAAACAAGCTGAAGTAGGTGTCACCTTCAGAATAACAGCTCAGTTATTTTCTGTCTAGGCCTCAATATTAACAACATAACCATTTATAAAAAGCAGTTTGTGCAAATGGATTAATCTTAGATCTTTGAGATTTAATTTAAAGGAACATTTCATGCAAAAATTTAAATTCTGTGATTATTTATTAATCCTCATGCTGTTATGATAATCTTTTCCTCTGCTGAAGCTCTGAAATCTCATTCAAGTTCATGTATAGACAAAAAATGCTTTTTTTGCTCTTAATTTGGTCATAATTAACTATTGCAAGCATCACAATAATCCACAAATTTACTCGGATTATTGTGATGTTTTTATCAGCTGTTTGGACTCTCATTCTGACGGCACCCATTCACTGCAGAGGATCCATGCAATGCTAAATTGGGTGGCCTGAGAGTACATTTTCAGCAAACTGTAATTTCTTAGTGAGTAACTATTCCGTTAAAAATGCCACTGAAGAGACCAAATATGCCTGAATGTTTTTTTCTGGATGAACTATTCCTTTAACATTTACATAAAAAGTGCAGTTTCACAAGCTTAATAAAATACAAACAACTTTAAAACACAGCTAACTGGCTTGCAGAATTAAAATGTCATTCAGACAAATGGTATTAACTAAAACCAATAGTTGGATTCACACACTGTGTGCATTTGGCTGAGAGCCACACAGTCAAACAGCGCTGACTAATCCCTTTAGAGCAGATTAATCTAAGCAAAACCACACCGGGATGGAGATCAAAAGGTGAAATATACTTCGCTTATGAAGAGCAGGTCGCATGTGTGTTGATTCTTCAGCTTTATATGACACAATAAGGTTTGTAAAAGCCAGATGTGCGATAGAGCATTGCCAAAAGATAAGTGTAGGATAATGCATCATTAACAATGTCCTTTAAAGGTCATCTGAGCTTCCTGCCGAGAGATCGTTTCCAATGGCTCTCTGGCAGGTGTTGAGCCAGTGGGGAGACACGGGTCCTACTGACTTTGTTCACTAGAAAGAGAACAAACGATTCACAAAGCACAATATCAGTTGAGTCACGGTTTATAAATAGGCCTGACAGCATCTTAGTTAATCCAAATCTCTTTCTCCTTCAGAGCCCACGGTTCAGTATCAGCGCACAAGAGCTTCAAACGCGGGCCGAGGGAATTATAAGTAGCTGTTCACTCTTCTCATGTCAGTCGGCTTTAGAAATTTCGAGGATATGAACCCCGGGAAAGATGATTAGCAATTATCGCCTCGGGGAGCGAATACATACCTCCCACAAACACAGCCTCTGTCCGCGTGTTGCGAGAAGCGATATTTTAACACTTTTACTTTTTGATGTCACTTTTTTTACAAAAGCAACTTTTAATGTCATGTAATATTTTAATTAGCAGGTCATGTACCTCATTTCTTTCAGTATGGGTCATTTATCCCTAGGGGAAATATTTTCTGCAAATAATCTCAATCTGATACATACATACATTACATTTCCATATATTAAATATATTGTCATATGTGAAGTAAAAATATATGAAACCTATAATAAATTGGAGCAATTTCATACATTAACAGGTCTAGCCCAAACAAATACATATGTTTATGTATGTGTAATATATTTTTGGACATATATGTCATGTATCCATCCTTAAACCTGTTCAGCATGTTTATATTATATAATATAAAAGATAGACATGTACTTAAAAAAAAAATATATATATATATATATAAACCAAAAGATGTTTTGCATATATGTTGTTTTAATAGTTGCATTATATAGATAATATTAACATATGTACATTTACAAATTTTACCATGGGAAGTTTATAAATATGTTATAAACATATATTTACATAGAGAATTCACGTATGTGAAAATTATATATATAGCCTAATAAATAACATATATGGCAATATGACTCTTGATATTGGACAATCTATGTCATACATTACATTTCCATATACATGCTGCTATTTTCACGCCAGACAGTATGCAACGCCCTAGCAACCACCTAGAACATCCTAGCAACACATTAAAACACTCTAGAATCTGGCTGTGAGTTCTTGCACTTACAATTACCTCTTCATAAAATGTAAAACTCTAGTTTGGTGATGATATGAGAATGCTCAGTAGCAGTTCCTGCAATATTTAATTTCATGCATAATTCTACATCCTGAAGACAAATTCATAAATAAGAGATGCTTCAACATGATCTGAAATGCAAGGCAAAAGACAACAACATTAGCAATCGTCTCTTTAATGAAACTATGAGAGTATATGACAGAATCACACGCTGAGATCAGCCTGCGCTTGAACAGATTGAATTCATCCAAGCAGCACAGCAACATTAATCATGATGCACATCAGAACTGTCAGAAAACTTTTCTGTATCTGCAGTGATGATCAAAGACACGCAACTTTTCTTCCCCAAGCGCACGCTAAAGGACGAAAGCTTAAGATACAAACACGATGCTTTGAGTTTTTGTATCTCCCAAATGCACACGTCGAACTCTTAATTTACAGACAACAAAAGCTGGAGCTGCGTGTAAAGTTAACATAAAATCTCTGCGACCCATAATGTGATGGGGAAGGAGGATATGAGAGAATAAAAATGTAGGATGGGACTTGATTTTATCCATCTGGAATTGATTAGATCAAGAAAAGCAAGCGTTTCATATCACAATGCTAGATCTGAATGTGGATTGCAATGGAAGATCAATTTCACTCTCCAGAGCTTCTCCACTTATCCCAGTGGTGATGCTTCTTTTTCAAATCAATCATTATTTGATATTATTGCCATATTATTTCAGTTACGATTTTAGAAAGCATGTACAACAACAATGACTTAAGAGTATTTGGCTTCTGGTTAACATTAACCAAATGCCTGCAGCCAAAAAAAGGAGAGTTGTCTCAGAGACAGAGCAAGTTAATGCTTTTGAATTAAAGATTGCACTAATGAGTCATGCAAAATAAGACCAGGAACATGTGCTAAATAAGGTCAATTTTGATTTCAGGCTGACTTTAAGGACAAGCATGCACATACACACATACACACAAACACACCCACACACACACACACACACACACACACACACATCCTCTCTGTTGTCAGACCCCCTCTATGACAGCTTACTTAACCCTGCTGAGAGAACATCTGCAACTTTTTATCAACTGCACACAGCCTTAAAGGTGCTGAAGCAGGTACTGCTTGTACAATGATTTTACATTAAACACATCCACAACACATGCAATAAACATGCAAGACAGATGAAATACAGGAAGATTATATAAGTATCAATGCAATGCAGTATTGATGATGTCCTTGATTATATTTTGACTATAATTCAATTTCTATGCTAAAAGCTCTACTTGATTAGAAATTCTGAACAATAATAATAATAATAATAATAATAATATGAACACAAAAACAAACATTTGAACACATACAATCTATCCAAGAGAATATATCACATTGCATTGTAGAAAAGAAGGAAATCGTGACAGTCAGGTCTCTCATATATGCTTCATCAGTGGCTGCAGAAATTGTTTAATTGTACAACATAAATGCATGAAAGCATCAAAGTCAATAAGCATGACCATACTGACTGGGAGTGCGAATGACAAAGGCATTCTCACTAATAAAAAGAGATGACAATTTATGTTCATATGTATATTAAAGCCTCTTTATTACATATGCATTAGGTCTTAAATATGTAAATGATCTATATATACTGTATAGCTACTATATACCGGCTTTCTGATGTCACAATGGAAGACTTGGATAAGACATGACAATGCATTTGGATTTTCTTCTTCTTCTTCTTCTGCTTTATAATCGCATAAGCTTATGCATTATTTATTCCCCAAACTGTACCTATAGCAATCAGTGCTTTATAGCATAACCTATTTTAAGATTATATTTTCATATGTGCATAACCACCCTCTCTGTCCTACATTAATAGAAGTGACACAATGACTTGTGTTCTTGGGTTCAAGGTTAATGTTTGCATGGTCACCTATTGGTGGGTTCATTGACCGAACGTTTGGCTACTTACATCGTGAAAGATGGGCAGTCCGTGAACCGCATCCTGCATCTGATGCTGCTGCTGTTTGGAGCGGAGATGCTCGCGCTTCGCCGACTGGAGACACATCGTGATCATTTCAGTGCACGCCAACATCTTTAAACGAGCTGCTTAAGAATTTAGGAAGAAGAATATGCACTTTAAGACACCGATATACAAGCAGATCTCGGAACTGGGGTGCGAACAGCAGCACGGCGCTAGTCTTCTGGGCGAATGCTGCTGATGCTGAGGAATACTAGTGAACGCAAAAGAATCGTTCTTTCGACTGAACCGGTTCTTTTGAATGATTCGGACGAACTGATTCGAAAAGCGCTTGTGAATCACTGTTGATTTTTTTTTTCTTTCTGTTGACAAGATTTATGGAGTGATAAAAAGACATATCCAAAATCTCCTCTGTGAAGAACTTTAACTTTTAATCTGGCTTTATTAAAAGTGGCGATTTCTGTTCTGGAAATATGTGCAAATTAGCGCATATTTAATTAGATAATGTCTCGTCTATTTACATCATATATATAGTGCATCCGGAAAGTATTCACAGCGCTTCACTTTTTCCACATTTTGTAGTGTTACAGCCTTATTCCAAAATTGATTAAATGCATTATTTTCCTCAAAATTCTACAACAATACCCCATAATGACAACGTGAAAGAAGTTTGAAATCTTTGCAAATGTATTAAAAAAAAAAAAATGTACATAACATAATTCACAGCGTTTGCTCAATACTTTGTTGAAGCACTTTTGGCACCAATTACAGCCTCAATTTTTTTGGGTATGATGCGACAAGCTTTAATCATCATCATTTGGCAATTATCTGCCATTCTTCTCCTCGCCTCTTCACCTCTCCAGCTCTGTCAGGTTGGATGGGGGCAGACGCACATTTTCAGGTTCCTCCAGAAATGTTAGATTGGGTTCAAGCCCAGGCTGTGGCTGGGCCACTCAGGGCCATTCACACAGTTGTCTATAAGCCACTCTTGCTGTGTGCTTAGGGTCATTGTCCTGTTGGAAGGTGAACCTTCTGCCCAGT